ATCTCTTGCTTATCCCGCTTGTTTGTCTAAGTCTTCAGCCTTGTAAAAAATAGGTCGTCTCTGGGCTTTGACATTCACTCCCGTCACGTATGACTTTCGAGTTCTGTTAAAGAGGGGTTGTGCTCGTTCTGAGGTTTCGGAGTATCGGCTGAGAGCCTTATCCCCGGACCTCGGGACCCGTTTGTGCTTTGCCTCGGTTTATGAACCAGGTCTTGTTTTCTCTTCCCGAAGGGAGGAAGAGGTCTCGTAGACCATCTCTCAGTGGCCGTAGGCTACTTTTCGTGGTCGTAGGCCACTTTTCCCGTTTGGAGACCAGTTTCCAGTTTTCGGAGCCGTCAGCCGTGCGCCTCAGCTCGGGACGGTTTAACTTTCTTCGTTTGGCACGGTTTTGGCACACACCTTGTTTCCTCTCTCTAGAGGGACACTGTGGCCCCACTTTCGTTGCTTAACAGTCTGTTTTCGGGGCACCCGGCTGCGCGTTTTGATCCTTGAACCCTCGTTTTACATCCGTCTTGGTTCATTTTTGGCATGGACCCTATGTTCATTGTTTAAAATATGGTACAAGGGTGGGAGACCACCTTTTCTCCTTGGAGATCACTTTTCTACCGCCGGCCGATTTTCTTGACAGGTAATTGGTCTCCTTCATTTTTGGGCCACAATTGCTGGTCTCCCACCATACCACTAGCTTGTATTCAGTTGGGAGACCACCAAATGGGTTGGCCGACCACCTTTCTTTGAGTTGACCCTTTTGAACTGGTCGGTCGACCACCTGAACTGGTCGGCCTACCTCCCTCAGTCTTGTCTCTGTAAGTTGCCAGCTGTGCCAGCTGGAAGGCACAGACTACATCCTCCATATGGCCTTGGTTTGTAGCTTCTTTGAGAAGCTTTGGTCTTGTATCTCTATAAGAGAGGCCCTCCTCTTCCTTGCAAAAGGTTCTGAATTTGGCTGAAGCATACACACATACATCCGCCCCTTGTCTCTATATTTTGTGTTCAAAAGTGATAAGTTCTTGCCCCTTTGCACAATACCTCTTAGCCTAACACCTCCAACACCAACCTAAGCTTCTTGGAGGGTCTTGAGAGGTCCTAAGGAGCTGCATTTTTGGTTCATAAGCTGCTGGAGTTGCTGAGCTATAAGGGTAATACCCTATTCCTTCTTTTGAGTTTTATTTTGCTCCATCTTTTAGCCATACTTGCAAGCATTTTTGAGCTTTGGTGTAAACTGAAAAAAGTCTTATTTTGATGTCCTTAACATGTTTGTTTAAGATCATTTTTCTTTTGGGGGTCATCTACCCCCTTGCATGCTTCATTTCACCTTGTTTTGAGCCATGCATTAAGGCCTTTGTTTTGAGCTTTGTTTGCCCTTTTGACCACTGAAATCCAATGGATTTTTAGTGGTTATTATGTATTTTTGGGAGCCAAAATCAGAGAGGAGTGACTCTCTCTCCTTGTTTTGATTTCTAGCATATTTGGCCTAACAAAGGAGCCCTTATTTGCATGCTTCCAAGCCATGTTTCAGGCCATTTTTGGTGAGTTTTAGGACCTGCATAGGCTCTGTCTAGAGCTTGTTTTTCCATATTGGGTGTCCATCTTGCATGTGTAGAATAACCCTCTTCATAGCCTATCAAAGAAGCATGTCATTCTTGCATGCATTGACCATGTTTTAATGAGTTTTCGGGCTTTATTTAGCATGTCATACCTTTGAATTTTTCTGGTTTAGTGACCTCTTCAATGCTTCATATACTTGTAGTGTAAACCCTCTTCACTAGCTTGTATTGCATACTATTTTGGCCTTTAATTCTAGCATTTTTTGGCCATGCCTTAAACTGATTTTGTGCATGTTTTAGACTGCTTAGCTCTGTTTTTAGGCCTCATGGTCGAATGATGGTTGCTATGCATGGTTGTAGTGCAATACCCTTGCCTAGCTTTGAGTTTTGAAGCCTATTGCATGCTTATATTGAGGTGTTTGCATGTTTTGGGGTCATTGTGCATGGTATTTCAGAGCATGTAAGGTTGCCATGTTGCCATGTTTTCCACTCATTATATGCATTTGAGGGTTGTGCTTGTATGCCTCATTTATGGACCATTGCGTGAGCTTCATTTTTGTGCCTTTTGAGCCACCATTTTAGTCCATTTTCCTACTATTTTGGGTCTGCATAGGGACTGTTTGGGGCCGGTTGGGTCATTTGAGCATTGCTTTGTGTACCTCTAGTGTAATGCACTTCACTAGTTTCGGTATCCGGGCCATTTAGCATGCATTGTGTGAGGTGTTTACATGATTCGGGACCATCTTGCATGTCATTTCAGAGCTAGAAAATGTGTGATTGTATGCCATATTTCATCCCTTGCCATGCTTTGGTAGAGTTGCATTTGGTGCCTTAGGTTTGGTCCCTTGCATTTGTGCATGTTTGCATGTGTTTTTGTTGCCTAATTTCATCATGTTTGTCCACTAATTTGAGTGTGGCTGAGGCCCATTCATTTTAGTTTAAGTCCATCTTGCATTATGTATGCCATGTCCATGTTGTCGCATGCTTGATCATCGCATTGTGTATGCCTTGATTATGCATTTGTGTATGTCCATCGTCATATGTGCATTGTGTATGCTATATAGCGTCATGTGCATTGAGTATGCCATTCGTAGTTCATAGCATTGCGTATGCTAGTTGCACCTTTACATGTCATTCCTTGCATGTTTGCATGTCTTAGTTACATTTCGTTTAGGATTGCATGTTAGTTGTTGCATTTGTATATGCCATGCCATATTATTTGTTGCATTGTGTTCGGGATAGGAGTTAGTCCGAACACGGGAAACGAGGGATGTTTCGTACTCAAAGTGACGAAACGTGCTTCGATTCTTGGGTCGCCGACACTCTTGACTACCCATGATAAAGTTGTTGGCTTTAGGTGTTTACATGTGCATTCATTTCACATTGAGTCGTGCACTTCGACTCCTCGGCCATCATGCGTTGAGATGCGTGATTGATGGCACGAGGATCGAGTACTACACTCCCTAGAGCTGATGCAATGACGGGAAGAGTGGTCAGGCACACATATGTTGAAAATACTTTGCCTTCTCTCTCTCTTGCCTTTGTTGCAGAAAATGCAGAAACCGATCGACCGACCAGGTTTCCTGGCAAGCCAACTACTTTTTCTGGTTTTCACCACCAAGGGTGGTTGGTAGGTGGTTTCTAATGCCTATAGCTGGTCGGTAGCCTTTCCCTATAGTTTCATCTTCTTGGAGCTTCGCACAAGTTTTTGAGTTCAATTGCAAACAAAGGTAAGCCGGGGCATCGCGATGGATTTCTCGACAAGGCAACTCGAACATGCATGCATCCATTGTCTTCCAAAACAGAGCCGAGGCAGCCCGCATTCATTTAGTTTACTTGCTTACTTAGTTAATTTATTAATTAATTAATGTTGTGTAATATTTAGCTGCAATTCATGATTCATTTCGGTTGTGTAATAACTAGTTTAATTAGCTTAGATTAGCTAGTCGGTGTTGTATTATTTATTCGGACCCTCCGAGAGAGGGCAATGTTGTAATAAGTGTGCGTGTGTGTGATGTATGTCTTCCAACCCTACGTCTTTCTCCCTTTTATTTACCAGCTTATGATGGTTAGTTTTAGGGCATGTTTCAATTAGCATCTATATGTTCGCATATTTGCATTCATTCATCTGTATTGCATGCACCGGGCTCGGCGCATCATGCTAACTGCATTGTATTTCAATTCCAAGTTGAATACATGTATCGATTGTTGCATCTCATATGCCATCTTAGAATAGCCGATCCTACTATAGTTGTATTTTTGCATGTGTTGCATTAGGCATTCTTAGCATAGTTAGGATTCATGCATGATTTCCAATTAGCTTCTTTCTTTGGCTCAGAGTACTCGGTAAGTGTTTATGCTCTAGCATCCTTGCATGTATGTGAGTGATTGCCATGATAGCATGCTTACCATGAGGCTATGTGCTTATGTGATATAACTGCCTGAATGCCTGTGGGTGAAGGTTGGATCATTTGAATTGGAACAATTCATTGATTGTGAGTTTTAAGCCCACTTGAGAGTGGCAAATCACCATATTTTCTAAGCCCACTTGAGGGTGGCAAAATCTGTATTTTAGCCTACTTACGAGTAGCAAACCACTTTCAAAAACAAACATGAGATGTTTTGTTCCAACTTAGGTGATCCAGTCTATACTTGTATGCTGTGTGCATCACATAGTAATTCTAGGCTAATAAACCGGAATAAGAGCACATAATGTTTTCAAAACTCGATATCATGGTTAGTAGGGGCCGATCTTTGATCGGGCGAGCGGGGGTGCTTACGAAGTGACCTTCTCCAATCGTACCCAACTTCCCGAGCTGAGGCAACTTTGGTGATGACGGACACGTGGCCGTAGGCACGAGTCAGAGTTTCCTAAATTCCCTAAAAATAAAATATTTAAGTGGTGACTCTGTATCTGGCAAAGCAGTCTATGTTTGGCATTTCTTTCTAAAAATCAGTTTTTCAAAACGATTTGCCGGATTTGGACTTTTTGATGATTCATCGGTCTTACATTGCACTCCGTGAGATTAGATATAGGACCGTGACATTGAGTCCAAACTGTAGTAAGCCCCAATGAACAAAACGGGATTCCCTCCTGGGACATTTGGGCGCGTCTACAGTATGTGGTAACGGAGTGTGTTTTGCCTAAGTGTTTACATTAGCATGCTGTTATATAGTTTTGGGCAGTGACATTCCCACGTGACACCCCCTTCCCGGGTGTAAATGGAGAAACCCAGTATGTGATACTAGGGCTGTTCAAAAATTCGTTTAAACCGGTAATCCGGACCAAACCAGACCGAACCGTACGGTTTGGTTCGATTATATTAAGAACCGGTTCGGTTTCGGTTCTAAAACTATTGAAAACCGTAAAAACGGTTCGGTTAACGGATTTTATAAAAAAATCACGGTTCGAACCAAACCGAACCGAATATATATATATATATATATATGATATTTAATAAATGATATTTAATTGGAATGCCAATCACGCCATTCTTGAGAGAGAACATTTTGAAATACTAGTTCATAAATTCAATCACGCCACTGTTTTAAACATCAGTTATATATATATATATATGATATTTAATAAACATTAGTTCATACATTCAACTCAATCACGCCATTCTTGAGAGAGAACTCGAAGGGTCTCGACTGTTTCTTGGCCTTCAGTTCAGATTCGTCTCCTCGATTCCATCTTCGTCTCCTTGATTCCATCTTCATCTCTTCGTTTCTCTCACACTCTCCTCTTATTTGAATACTACATACCAGTCATGCCATCAACCATCTCTTTCTCTCTCAATCTCATCACAACAGTACCTTCCACCATTGTTACTGTTAGGACCTCCAAATCTGGCCAACTATCTCCTTTAGTATATGATCTTGCCACCAACAGCTTTCCAATACCATCGGCTATTCACTCTTGCATAATCGCAGTACGAAATCAGTGAGTAATTTTTTTATTTTTGTGTGAGGTTTTGTTTTTTAAAATATATAAATATATTTTGCTTTCCTGTTCTGATTCATGACAGTAGCAATTTTTAATCAAACCTTTCCTAATCATTTTAGAAATTTTAATCTGACAGTAGCAATTTTCTATTAAAAGTAATTTTTTAATTTTCTAACTGATTTTTTTAGAAATTTTTGAAGTTTAGGGATTTTGCTGAGTTAGGGATTTTTTGGGATTGTTATACATTCTGTCATTTGATATATTTGTGTATTTCTGTTTCTTGTTAGATGTCAAGTGTTGAAGAGATTGCAAATCCTGGTAACAGTAACACCCCTGTGGAGCATAAACTTGATGCTTCTATGTCTTCCTCTAAGACAAAGGTACGTCATCCTAAAGAAAAGAGTAGGAAAGGTTCAGAGGTTTGGCTTCATTTCACAAAAATTTATAAGGAAGGGTGTAAGAAACCTGAAGGGGCTAAATGTAATTACTGTCATAACACATATGCATGGTTAAGTGAGAATGGGACTAGTACTTTGAGAAAACATGTTGCTAATTGCTCAAAGTGTCCTTATAATCATGAGATAAAGAAACAAAAAACTTTGTCATTTCAGTCAGTTAAAGAAGAAGGTTCTGAAAATAGTCTTAGATTGTGGAAATTTGAACAAGATGCATGCAGAGATGCACTTGCTCAAATGATAGTCAAAGATGAGTTACCTTTTAGGTTTGTTGAACGTGAAGGTTTTCGTCACTTTTGTAGTGTGATGCAACCTAATTTTAGAAAACTTTCACGCATTACAGTGGCAAGGGATTGTGTGACATTATTTAGTAATGAGAAAAAGAAATTGAGGAATTTGTTCATGAAATCAAATCAAAGAATTTGTCTTACTACTGATTCATGGACTTCCCTACAAAATGTTTCTTACATGTGCCTCACAGCACATTTCATCGATAAGGATTGAAAATTACACAAAAGAATTTTAAGCTTTTGTGTAATATCTAGCCACAAAGGTGAGGCAATTGGGAGGGCAGTAGAGGCATGCTTGATTGATGGGGGTATAGAGAAATTGTGCACACTAACTGTTGATAATGCCAGTGCTAATGATGTTGCACTTGCATATTTGAAGAGAAAGTTCTCTAAAAAGAGTGATGCCTTTATTTTAAAAGGTGAGTTTTTTCACATGAGGTGTTGTGCCCATATCATTAATTTAATTGTGAAAGATGGCTTGAATGAAATCAAAGGGTCGGTAACTCGAATTCGTGATGCTGTGAAGTATGTTAGAAGTTCTCCTCAAAGAGAGCAACGTTTCAAGTCATGTGTAGAGAAGGAGAGGATTAATCATAAGAGTTCTTTGTGTTTAGATGTTCAAACACGATGGAACTCTACTTTTCTCATGTTAAATACTGCACTCAAGTTTCAAAAAGCTTTTAAAAGATTAGAAGATGAGGATCCACATTTTTGCTTAGAACTTAATGATATACCTCCTACCACCAAAGATTGGGATGATGCTAGGCATTTTACTTCATTTTTGGAAAAATTCTATGATGCCACTGTTCATTTGTCTGGTTCTTTGTACATCACTTCTACTATGTGTTTTACTGATGCTTGTGCAATTGAAGGTTTCTTATGTGAATGTGCAAAGAGTTTGGATCCTTCTTTAAGTGTAACGGCTATGAAAATGAAGAGCAAGTTTGCTAAGTATTGGGGAAAAATTGAAAAAGTGAACATGTTGTTGTTGATTTCTGTTGTGTTGGATCCCCATTGTAAGTTGAGATATGTCAGTTTTTGTTACTCTGAACTTCATGAAGCTGCCACTGTGACTGAGCTTACAAAGAAGGTAAGAGAGGCATTGAATCAAATTTATGATGAGTATCAAAAGCTTGAATTTGGAATGTGTTCTTCTTCTAACCAGACTTGTGTTGAAGTTGATCAACCAATTAGTGGAGCAAGTAAACAGTTAATGTCTCTCAAATCAAAGTTTCAAAAACATTTGGCACAAGAAGAATGTGATGGTGGAAAGTCAGAAGTGGATAAATATTTGGAAGATGCTTGTGAAAAGGAAGGCCCAAACTCACATTTTGAAATTTTGAATTGGTGGAAGGTGAATTCCTCTAGATATAAAATTCTTTCTCAAGTTGCCCGGGATATTTTAGCCATTCCCATATCCACTGTTGCCTCAGAGGCTGCCTTTAGTACAGGAGGTCGTGTCATTGACCAATTTCGTAGTTCTCTTACTCCTAAGCTTGTAGAATGCTTGATTTGTTTGCAGGATTGGTTGCGTGCGTCACCACTCTCACTTGAAGTAGAAGAAAATATTGCGGACATTGATGAACTCGAACAAGGTAATATTGATTTGGTATTTTGTTATGAAATTTATTTTGATGTATTGTGCACTTCATTTTAAATTAATGTTATCATTTTTTTGCAATTTCAGCTCTAAATGTTGTGTCTCTTAATGTGATTTCTGATTAATGGAGGATGGTTTGGCTCTTGGAAAGTTGGAAAAGAGCACTGTTGCTGTGTTGCTGGGCTGCTAATGTTGTTGGTAGCTATTAATGTTTCCATTTTGTTGCTGCTGGAAACTTGGAATGCTCTCTTTTGTTGCTGTTAAGAGTCTTTGGCTGCTGTATTTGCATCCATATTTGTTGAACTTGTCTTATGTTTTTGTTGTTTTTTATTTGAAAGTTTTTATTGACTGTTTAGAATGTTTAGAATGTTTTTCAATGCTTTTGGATGATTGGATGGTTTCAAATTTCAATGGTATGTAATGGTTATTATTATATCAAGTTTTATTTTTATTAATTGGTTTTTTATAATTTTAATGATATTAGGATTTTATCATGGGTTAAATGTAATCAGTTTGAGTAATTATTTTGCTAATATTAACAATTTATTCTTGTAAATAGAAATTTTTGGAACCGTAAACCAAACCGAAACCGAACCATTTTTTCGGTTTGGTTCTGGTTCGGTTTTACAAGTGTAACGGTCTAGTCTGGTTCTCAAAATCACAAAACCGTTAGGATCGGTTCGGTTCTTGGATTTTCTCAGAACCGAACCAATCCGGACCGTGTACACCCCTATGTGATACGAAGGTTGTGATACAAAAGGTTGGGTGTGTATTGGATGCGTGGGTGTATGGGACATAGCTGACGTTGTAAGTTATGTTACGTAGCATGCAGTGTGGGTTAACGTCGTCAACTGTAAGTGAAGGCGGTTTTCCATGTGTTTCCTTAAGTTCTATCTGTGTGCATAGTTATTCGTAAGTAAATCAACGTACTGTAAGAACAGTTGTGTTGAACGTACACGCAATGCGATAATTATGTGGTGCATAAAACACTGGTAAAGTTGAAACACGATTTCATATATTTAGGGTACGAAATTATTTTTGCACAATGGATATAACATAACAAAATTTGTAAGCTAATAATCCAGTAATTGTCGTAGCAATTGTACTTGTGGCCGATCAAACCAATGAACGGTAACTTATTAAAACACTAAAATGTATGTGACTAACATATTCTTATTAAATGATATGCATGAAGTACATATCCACTTAGAACGTAATAATATAAATCGGCTATGAACTTGTTAGTTCTTAATGTATTGGGTGCATAGGTGCATGGGGCATTGCTGGCATTGTGAGTTGTGTTACGTGGCATGTGGTGTTGGTTAACGTCGTCAACTATAAATGAAAACGATTGTCCATGTGTTTCTTTAAGTTCTATCCGTGCGCACAATTATTTGAAAGTAAATCAACGTACTGTAAGAATAATTGTGTTGAACGTACACACAATGCGATAATTATGTGGTGCATAAAACACTGGTAAAGTTGAAACACGATTTCATATATTCAGGGTACGAAATTATTTTTGCACAACGGATATAACATAACAAAATTTGTAAGCCAATAATCCAATAATTGTTGTAGCAATTGTACTTGTGGCCAATCAAACCAATGAACGGTAACTTATTTAAATAGTAAAATGTATGTGACTAACACATTCTTATTAAATGATATGCATGCAGTACATATCTACTTAAAACGTAATAATATAAATCGGCTATGAACTTGTTCGGAATATGACTAAATAGGTTCCTTGCATGTCTTCCTATTTGTGGTTCCCCATGCACCACACCTCCCGTACCTTATCTGTTTCACATTCTCACCCCTAGACGATATTCTCTTCTTCTTTGGTCTCCCGGGTGGACATTTCACGTTCGGTGGGTAAATTACATAGTTGGCAGAGTTGAATGGTGGTTTCTCCACTGTTAGTATTGGGTAAATGGTTGGCGCATATACCAATCGGTATTTTAACACATGGTACTAAGGTACGACTATGTCATCAAGGTTCCTCCAGCTTTTTCATACTGCAACAATAGCATGCGCACATAGAAACTCATTTATTTGCCACTGGAAACAAGAACATGTACACCTCTCGATGTCCAACATAACAGATGGGTGTGAATGGACCTCGTACACGTCGTTATTCACTTAGCTGACTTTCCATGATCGGCTTTTGGTATACGCCTCTTCCAATCGAGATTCCATTTTAGGGAAAATTGCACCAGTCCATGTGTGGGCCAACAGTCTTTGTTTCGCCATTTGGCGCATAATTTGACCTCTAATGCTGTCAACCATTCTGATGATTGGCAGATTACGTGCGTCGCGTATCCAAGAGTTGAATGACTCGGCAGCATTGGAACTTATTTCACCATACCGTCTCCCTCTGCAAAACCCAAATTAAAAAAAAAAATTTGTACAGCATGCTTATTTGTTGGTAGGTATGTCAAAATTACGGTGCGTAACGAGTATGTCCGTACCTGAAAAATGCATTGGCCCAATGTTGTGGATGTGCATCCTCAAGGAATTTCGTAGCAACGGCTTTTCTAGATTTTTGAAATTCGTCAACCTTCTGGTTAAATGTTGTTACGGTGGGTGCGTATGCACACTTACGTAATTTTCTAACCATGCCAAGTCGATGCACGTTGTGTACATACCGTAGTCTATCTCGCAAATTTCTTTGCAAGTGTTGGAGACAAAATGCATGGTGAGCTGTCAGGAAAAATGTAGGCATAGCTTCCATCAAACCCACGTTCCAATCAGAAACAAATGTGAGCGTAATGTCATCAGGTACCACGTTTACTAGATGTTGCAAGAACCATCCCCAGTTCGTGGTATTTTCAGAGCCGACAATGGTATAAACAAGCGGGAACAACCCTATTGTAATGATGACAGTGTATAATATAACAACCACAACATACAATATTTTGCTTTTAGCGGATCGGGGAAAAAAAAGGTGTATAACAACCACAACTTGTTTAGGTTTTCAAATGAAATGGGACTGCCAAAATAAGTGGCTGCAATATTTGTAAATAAAATGGGACATACCTTGGTTGCCGTCCTTCGTAGTGGCAGCGAGCAAAAACCTTTTAAACCTGCCTTTCAAGAAGGTCCCGTCTAAAAAAAGTAATGGTTGACAATGACGAAACCCATCAATGCATGCTTTGAATGATATGAAAGAACAGTGAAACCAGTAGTTGTGTTCATCGTAATCGATGTCAACATAACTCCCCGGATTATATTGCATGACAACCTCACGATACGAAATGGGCACCAAACAATTCCCCACTAGCCTTCTCAACACCTAACCATGCAACATGGCAGTTGACGTCCAACCCATTGTCATATTTCAAATCCAAAATGACATCAGTCGGACGTGTGAGTGGTCTGTCCCGAACACAAGATGCCACAATATCAGTAACCATATCAGATCCAACCCTTGGATAGTTTGATGTCTGGACGGATACATCGCAATTGTGCACACTATTCCATTTACAAAGGTAGAAAAACTTATTAGCTTTCAACATCCGAGCATGTATAGACCATGTGTATCCCTTACCCTCCAACATGGAGCACACCGCTATTACCCGTACGGAATCGTTCTTCACATACCTGAAATTAAACCCACACTCCACAGCATACTTGCACAAGATTGTTCGGAATCCGTGTGCACCCCCCTTAAAACATTGTCCTACATGGGTTAACCCTCTAGCTCATGATTCAGTGCGTAAGACTTTATGATTGTGTGGGCAAAAATCAGGCAACAAATCAACCTTGTCATCAGTTTCTTCTTCATCATTCACAACTAATTCAGAAATCGATTTGGGTTGCATATTATGTTGTTCGCCATCCACACACATGTTGTCGGGCCTTCCACGCTGATCAATCACTACAGAAACGTGTTCCAACCTGAACGACCGGGCAAGACTAACAAGATTTTGCAAATCCACATCGTCCTGTAAGGTAAAGCTGTTTAACCCTGGAATATGGTAAGACAATCCCACACTAAGGGGACCCACCCTGCCGAACTTGGAACACACAAAAAGCGACTAGTTCTTCAAATGTGCAATGAGCCTGCAGATTGTATGATGCGTTCATTTTTCGATAAGCACACAGTAACATCAAATCCCCTCCATACCTATGAGCATAGATCATGAAACAGTAAAACACACGTTGCACATTTAAAAAAAAATTGTAACAAACAAAATCACTATGATAATGAAATGAACGAAACTGAATCTCCCTCCTCTTCCCCCCAACCTTGCACACACAATGCAAAATCACCAAAACCATGTGTAAATATATCATCGGTACATAACACATGGTTCCATGGTCAGGTTACAACAAACTCACACACACATAATGAACCCATAAACCCAATTAAAAATGTGCTGTGATTGTCAGTTTCCCAACAAACCCACATCCACATCAACCAAATTGGAAACCAACAGAGCCTACGCACATCAAACCCCTGTAACAGTTTAGATGACATACAAACGTGACAATAGACACACATTCCATAAGGAAAATGACATTTTAACTATTAGAAACATATGAACATATGATGTACCTGCAAAACAATGTCGACGTCTGCAGCAAATCTCAATGTCGACGTCTGCAGCAACTCTCAACAACACTAATAAAACAACAAATTCCTAGTTTCCCTTACCTCCCCTGCCCCCAACCCATTTTCTCACACCCCAAAAATGGTGGGATCCGAACTACCAAACGTGGAGCACCAATGTAGCAGTGTATTCCACAAAATCCTCATTCAATCCCAACATACACGTCCATGACAACAATAAAAAAAAGGCAATTCCGTCAAGCCATACATCACGTAAGTTTAAAAAGGGACCTGTCTGTCTACAAAATGTGACAAACATGACTTACCAATCCATAAGAATCAATGTGGGGTCATGTGGATTAACAGTTTGGTAAATAGGACTTTTGATAATTTTCCCTAATTTAATATTTTAATGTTTATAAAATTTATCATTAATATGTAATTATTTTTTAAAAATTGAACTAAATTGATATTTTCCCTTCATTTCTTCTCCTTTATGAACTTTGAAAAATGCTATAGGCCCCAATTTTTCTACCAAATAAATGACCAAATGTCTCACGTGCACGTGAGACATTTGGTCATTTATTTGGTATAAAATTTGGTCTCCCTAGCATTACTCATGAACTTTTTCATGTTTTAGTTTTTTTTTTTTTTTTTTTTTTAAATGCACCTAAATCTTGATATACTTAGGTTGTGTTTGGTTCATACATTTGGAAGGGGAAAGGAAAAAGATAAATGAAATGTAAATAAAATATGCCTACATTTCACCTAATTTTACACAATTTTTCTCTTTCACTTTCTCAATTCCTCTGCAAATCCATGAACCAAACATAGGC